ACTAGGATCATAGGATAAAGGCAGAGGACATTCAGATTGACCAGGTTGAATTGGGGGAGAGGGGGTCTCACAGTGAGCACTCTCCTCTGAATATGATGTTCCAAGAGTTAGATGCTGTTTCTGTGTTTGATGAGATTATGGAGATTACCATGATCCTTTGTATGCGATGTTAGAGGACAACTGCAGTCTTGGAGAATTATAACAGAAGGAATCAGGAATGATGAAAGAGGCCATCTGAATCAGCCTGAGACAGGCTGCCCCAGGTGCCCAAATAATCTGCTTTTCACTAAATGCAAAGAAACTGGCATTCCTATTTTCTCAAAGATTTACATCCTGCTCTTCCAAATAGTTAGAAGCAGAGCTATTGCAGGGCATGGATGGTGTTGGTGGTGAATAGCTGGAGAACTGGGCAAATAGAAAATGTATTTCTGTGGGGTGCCCAGCTGGCTCAGTAGGTAGAGCATGCAACTCTTGGGATTGTAAGTTTGAGCCTGATGTTGGGTGTAGAGATTACTTAAAAATAAAATCCTTTAAGGGCTGGCTTAGTCAGTTAAGCATCTGCCTTCGGCTCAAGTCATGATCCCAGAGTCCTGGGATCCAGTCCCACATCTGGCTCCCTGCTCAGGGGGGAGTCTGCTTCTCCCTCTACCCCACACCCCTGCTCATGATATCTCTCTCTCTCTCACACTCTCTCTCTCTCAAATAAAAATCTTAAAAAAATAAAATCACTTAAAGAATGTATTTTTGTGAACTAGTGTTTCATTCTGTTCATACAACTGTTTCTTTGTCAAACTATCTGGTTATTGCTTACTAGTGATTTAATGAAATTACAACAGTAAGTAATGTAGCACCTGAAAGAGTTAATCTCTCAAACTCCCCAGTGACAGTTGCCACTAGGGCAACATTCCTGGCAAACACTCAACATAACTTCTGTAATTCAAAGTTCTGGAAACTGAGCCAAGAGCAGGCTCACCAGGCTAAGAATAAAGCTGTTTTTGTATCCAGACAGCAAGTACCTATTTTGAAAACCATGCTTTCCATTTAATCTCTCTGAATGTAGAGAACTTTTCCTTAAAGTCTAAGGACAAGGCCCCTCAAAGGGAGAGACATGTGGCCCTGATGTCCTTTCTCTCTAGACCTGTTACAATATCAGATTCCTCTGGAGAAATCATATGCCTGAGTCCAGAGGCTTTGGACAAGGGAAATTTCAGGTATTTCAGGGGATTTAGATACAGGATCAGAGATAATGCAAATTCTTGGAAACCTCAATCAAATGGGAAAGACTAAATGTTCAAGGATATGGATGAGGAAGAGCCTGAGGTGGACAGGTTTTCCTAACGCCAAAGTGGGACACGGTATTCTTTTTGGTGATTTCATCAGTCCCTAATACTGTTCTCTGTTGTTTAAACCTTTTATTTTGAAATAATTTTAGACCCACAGAAATGTTACAAAACTCGTACAGGGTTCCCTATACCATTCCTCCCCTTTCCTTAATGTTAGCACCTTACATAACCATACCACAAATATAGAAGTCAGGAAGTGAACATTGATAGAATACTATGTAACCATGAGAGTATTATTGCAATTAAGTTACTGCTATCTTGGAGAAAGGACTTACTCAAATGGGATGTTTACTGGCTGCTAAAAAATGGAAATGTGGAGCTCTCTTGTCCCACTAAAACTGTAAACAGGAAATAGTACCAGGCCAGATCATGAGTGAAATCATGATCATAGCTGATACTGGGGTAACTGGGAATCCATTCCCACTTCTAACCTTTTCCCCTTCAACTCTCAGTTGGGTTATTGGAAAAATAGATGGATCTCAGATGTCAATTGAGGATTACAGAAAACTAATGTAATAAATCTGTAACTGTTTTTCTATAGGAAGATCTTTCTAAATCATCCCTGACTGCGGGGCGCCTGGGTGGCTCAGTTGATTAAGCTTCTGCCTTTGGCTCAGGTCATGATCCCAGGGTCCTGGGATTGAGTGAGCCCACATTTGGGCTCCCTGCTCAGGAAGGAGTCTGCTTCTCCCTCTCCCTCTGCCTGCTGCTCTGCTTGCTTGTGCTGTCAAATAAATAAATAAAATCTTAAAAAAAAAATCGTCCCCATGGGTGCCTGGGTGACTAGGTTGTTAAGCATCTGCCTTTGGCTCAGGTCATGATCCCAGGGTCCTGGGATCGAGCCCCGCATCAGGCTCTCTGCTTGGTGGGAAGCCTGCTTTTCCCTCTCCCACTGTTCTCTCTCGCTTGCTGTATCTCTCTCTCTGTCAAATAAATAAAATCTTTTTTAAAAAATCATCCTTGATTGGTATCCTTTTATTGATCTTACTAGGGCACTGTTTTTAATCCCAATACTTTTTTTTTTAACGTATTAGACATCAACATTTTGCCGTCACTTGGTGGCCAGTGATTTACCTTTACAGTCTTGCCTCCAAGATATTTCAACTCTCTAACATTTGACATAATCTGTTAAGGTGATATTTAAACAGGTGTCCTAAGCCTAATTCAGATAGTGAAATTACTCATTATATTGATAGCCTACTGGTCAGGTGACACTGAAGTAACTTTCTGAAGTTCAGCCTTTCCATATTGAATTTATAACTAAAAGTCAGCGGGCTACTATGCATGGAAAAGGTCAGGGGCCTTCTCAGACAGAAACCCTTCTGGGAGTGTAATTATCTGGGGGTAACCAGAGAGATTCTATATCAGGCAAATGTTATCCATAAAGTCCCTACCCCTAAAATAGGGACACAAAAATTAATTTTTATGTTTAATATTGGAGATAGTATGCTACATATCTGGGTTTTAAGCTACAACTACTTCATCAAGTCACTTGACAAACATTAGAATTTGTATGAAGCCACCCCCCTTTCTTATAGCAACTGATTCTTTTTCAGATTATGGGCAACCTAGCCTGGCAGTTGGCCTCTAAAGTACCTATTTCTTCCATAGAGTTCCTAAGTGCAGAATTCCGCACAGGAAGGCATTTTGAATGGCCCAGCCTCTCCTCCCCCCCCCCTTTTTTTTAAGATTTTATTCATCCATTTGACAGAGACATAGAAGAGAGCACGCACAAGCAGGGGAATGGCAGAGGAAGAGGGAGAAGCAGGCTCCCCGCTGAGCAGGGAGCCTAATGTGGGGCTCGATCCCAGGACCCCCAAGGCCTCCCTCTTAGCTGCTCTTCCCTCATGTGCCATTTCTGTGCCTCTTCACAGCAACCTAGGTATCAGGGAAGGGAGAGGGAGAAGCCACCTTTTTCTTTGCCTTTCTGAAATCTGAGCGCAGATTTCATTTTTTAAATTTCTTTTTTTTTCTTTTTCTCTCTTTCTTTGGGCAGGCAGCAGAGGGAGAGGGAAAATCTCAAGCAGGCTCCACACCCAGCACAGAGCCTGATGTGTGGGTCGATCTCATGACCCTGAGATCATGACCTGAGCTGAAATCAAGAGTTACTTAACCTGTTAAGTCACCCAGGCGCCCTGAGTGCAAATGTCAACTGTGCTGGTGGCTGCAGCAGCCCAGGTAAATTCTTTGTAAGCTGAGTGTTCCCAGATTGAGCACAGCCTGCAACACTTTATTTTTTACTTTTTAAAAGATTTTATTTATTTATTTGAGAGAGAGAGAGAGAGCACGAAGAGGGAGAGGGAGAAGCAAACCTCCTGCTGAGCAGAGAGCCCAATCCAGGGCTCAATCCCAGGACCCTGGGATCATGACCCGAGCCGAAGGCAGATGCTTAACCGACTGAGCCACCCAGGTGCCCCAGCCTGCAACACTTTACACAACAGGTATTTTAAATACCCAACAGCAGTTACTTCAGGAGGTAGAGCTGTCAAAGCTCACTGAAATTCTGAGATCTGGGACCTAGTCTGCCTTCTTTTTGTTCAGTTTAGAAATATGTACTGAGCTTCCACTTGCTGGGCATCTTCTGTGTGTTCCATCCATCTTGTTGTGTAACCAAGTAGGCTGAGCTGAAGGGTCAAGTTCAGCTAAAGAAAGGCACCAGCAAAAATGCGAAGGGCCAAGAGGAGAATGAGGTCAAGGTATTTATTCCCTCCCCACTCCTCCTACCACACCACGGATTGCCTTCCTCACACCACCATGGCTACCAGCCTCCTGCCAGGCAGCCCTCTGCCCTTGAGCCTTCAGGGTCCAAGGTTGTGCACCCAACCTTGTTTGTTTTTTGACTTGCCAATGCCTTTGTAAATAGTCCCTTTATGAAACTCTCCACAAATTACCCAATTGGAAAGTGCCCCCTGTTTCCTGCCAGAACTCTGACACAACAACACTGACACTGCCAGTGACCAGATTTGTGAACTGAAAAGCAAAACTCTTGGGGCGCCTTGGTGGCACAGTGGTTAAGCGTCTGCCTTTTTGGCTAGGGTCGTGATCCCAGGGTTCTGGGATCTAGCCCCGCATAGAGCCCTGCATCGGGCTCCTTGCTAGTTGGGAAGCCTCCTTCTCCCTCTGCTTGCCATTTCCCCTGCTTGTGCTCTCTCTCTCAAATAATAAAAATATTAAGTCTTAAGAAAAGCAAAACTCTTACTGAGCACCTGCTATATAGTTTTATCAGTGCGGTGTTTTTACCTATGTTGGCCAATGTAATCATCACAATATGCCTTTTACAGACAAGGAGACTGGATTCAGAGACTTAATTACATATCTTGCTAAGGATCACCAGGCTATTGAGCAGGATCGGACTGGAATTCAGGTAGATCTCACTCCATAAACATCTACCTGCTCTGAAGGCCACCCTTGGTACCCTTAGCTTTAGGGAAAAGGCTCGGTAAAGGACTGAGGCAGGGGAAGGATTAGGCTGTTTCCCCACTGATCATCTGAATCACAATCACCTGGGATGCTTTATAAAATTTGAGATTCTTGGAACTGCCAGTATCTTTCCCAATCTCAGCAGTCTCTGTACCTCTATTTCACACTCACTGCGCTGGATTGCAGAATTAATAATGAACTCTTATTTTAGCAGCTACTTTCTTCCGATCAGACGCTACTGGATTTGCACAAACACTAGGAGACCTCACACATTGGCTTAGAGGGTCTCACGTGAGTCCAAAAGAAGAAGCGCAAAGGTTCCAACTACTATTGCTTCCCAGGGAGGTGGAGGCGCGCCTGGCTGGACACGTGACCGGGGAGGGCTGACTCCCCTGTTCCGCAGAAATCGAGATGGCGGCGACGGTGATCCTGCAGCCCGCGGGCCGCTGCAGCTGGGACGAGCCCGTGCGCATCGCCGTGCGCGGCCTGGCCCCGCGACAGCCCGTCACGCTGCGCGCGTCCCTGCGCGACGAGAAGGGCGCGCTCTTCCGGGCCCAGGCGCGGTACCAAGCCGACGCCGGCGGCCTTCTGGACCTGGAGCGCGCGCCCGCGCTGGGCGGCAGCTTTACGGGGCTCGAGCCCATGGGGCTGCTCTGGGCCCTGGAGCCCGAGAAACCCCTGGTGCGGTTTGTGAAGCGGGACGTGCAGACGCCCTTCGCGGTGGAGCTGGAGGTGCTCGACGGCCACGAGCCGGACGCCGGGCGCGTCCTGGGCAGGGCGGTGCACGAGCGCGACTTCCTGCGGCCGGGCGTGCGGCGGGAGCCGGTGCGCGCGGGCCGGCTGCGCGCCACGCTCTTCCTGCCCCCAGGTGAGCGCCCCGGGTCCCAGGCTGTTATGGAGTACCAGGTGGAGTCGTCCCGGGACCCTGGGCAGCCTCTTGCCTGGCGGGGGAACCACGTGGTTGTGGAACTTTCCTAAGCTCATCCCCGCACTCCAGAGCCTATCATGGATTCTGGATAGACGTTTTTCCTCTTTAAGTTCATGGCACTTCCTAGAGTCACTACCACTCCTTAGCTGTATGCTAAAAAGTGCATTTATTTCAAGTGCCCGCCAGGCGGCTGTGTCAGATACCAGTATTAGGTAATGACTTACGCTGCTTTGCCTCTTTTCACATGGAACTTCCAAGGAAGCTAAAACCCACAGATAGAGGCAGTGCTCCATAATCCTAAAAAACAAACTGATGGTCACCTTTTCCCATCATAAACTGTCAGTGATTTTTTTTTTTTAAGATAGTATGTATTTTTGAGAGAGAGAGTGGGCACAAGCAGGGGGGAGGGGCAGAGGGAGAAGCAGACTCCCCGCTGAGCAGGACCCTGGGATCATGACGTGAGCTGAAGGCAGACCCTTAACCGAGGGAGCCACCCAGGCATCCCTGGCAGTGATTCTTAATCTCGGTTGATTTTCCCCCACCCCAGGGGACATTTGGCAATATCTGGAGACATTTTTGGTTCTCACAACTGAAGGGTGGGGGGTATTATTGGCATCTAGTGAGTAGAGGCCAGAGATGTTGGTAAACGTTCACAATGCACAGGGCAGCCCACACAACAAAGAAATATCTTACTCAAAATGTCTATAGTGCTGAGATTGAGAAACCCTAGTCTAAGTAAAAAGGTGCTTACTAGGTAAAAGGGGCCTGGAAACAAGACCCTTGACCCAACTCTTAACAACCAAATTCCTGGTTGAAACCCCTCCTATATAGAAATGCTGGAGTTGCCACATCTCACAGAATCCCTAAACAATTCTGTTATTCTCCAGAACAAGAGCACCTGCTTTATTCTTACAGCTCGTCAGCAATTCCCAACCTTAACTAGTGGCTGCACACTCAACTGTGAACTCCTGCGGCTGCGATCAGATTTAACACATCTCTGTGTATCTATATTCCTAGAAGCTTGCCCAGGGATATAGTAGGAGCTCAATAAATCATACCGACTGATTCAGTAAGAATCCCCCAGGGGCACCTGGGTGGCTCAGTTGGTTAAGTGACCACCTCTTTGATTTCAGGTCAGGTCGTGATCTCAGGGTCCTGGGATGGAGGGAGCCCCGTCTCGGGCTCTGCACTCAGCAGGGCGCCTGCCTGAGATTCTCTCCCTCTCCGTCTGCCCCTTCCCCTGTCCCCTCACATGAGCGCTTGCTCACTCTCTCAAATAAATAAAAGCTTAAAAAAAAACATTTAAAAAGAATCTCCCCCCAAAAAACCTTTCACCGCCCATCACGGTATCTGATACTCCAGTCAAGTCAATCTTCTGTTAACTATTTCAGTGTCTACTATGTGGTCTATTTAAAAATTGTTTTCTGGGCGCCTGGGTGGCTCAGATGGTTAAGCGTCTGCCTTCGGCTCAGGTCATGATTCCAGAGTCCTGGGATCGGGTCCCGCATCAGGCTCCCTGCTCGGTGGGGAGCCTGCTTCTCCCTCTGCCTCTCTCTCTCTCTGTCTCTCATGAATAAATAAATAAAATCTTTAAAAAGTAAATAAATAAAAGTTGTTTTCTGTCTCAAAGGCTTTTGTAAATAATGTAGAAGAGTTCAGTCATTTAACAAATATGTATTAAGTCAAGGACCATGCTACATACTGGGATGGAATAGATAGCAAAGTTAGACACGGTCCTCACTGTACTTACAGCCTAATAAAGGACCCAGGTAACTATACTTGCACTTACAGATGTGGCAGGTGCTGTGATAGGGAGAAGGAGAGGGCCAGGGTGCTGGTGGGAACATATAAAAGGCTATCTGGCCGCTCACCCTCTGACCCGCGGCCAAACGCCAGTGCATTCTGCGCCCCCCAACCATGACCGCGGGCATGTCCTGGGCCACCTATCTGAAAATGTTCGCTGCCAGCCTCCTGACCATGTGCGCCGGGGCCAAAGCGGTGCACAGGTACTACCAGCCGGACCTGACAATACCTGAAATTCCACCAAAGCCTGGAGAACTCAAAACGGAGCTTTTGGGACTGAAAAAGAGACATGAACCTCAAATTTCTCAACAATAGAAACCTCAAAATACTTAACTCTGCCAAGAACTCCGTAAATAATATTATAAGTATTAAATATATATTTTTAAAGTTTATTGAGTCAAACTGGTTGTCTTTAAGCATCTAATGCAATGCTAACTGCAAGAGGTGCCCAGGTGTTAACTGATGCATTGAGATTTAATTATGGATTGACCAGTGTTTCTGGAAAACTGCCAAAGTTTATATCATCAGCTTTTTGAATGTATTTGAATAGATACTTAGTCTTGGATATCATGTGAGAAAGAATACAGTGTTTCCTGCCCTTATAATTCTGGTTTATGTCTCTGAATAAGCTTGACTATCATGACAAATGGGAATTATAAATTAACTATAATAAAAGTGTCATTGACAATGAAAAAAAAAAGGCTATCTGATTCAAATCAGCCTTGGGGGAGATCTGGGAATTCTTCTGGGAAGGGAGATCTAAATTTAGGTTTGAAAACTGATGGGTCAACCAGATCATAAAAACTAGAGAGGGGAAGAGACTAGTGTATACCACTTTCAGGAACCAACGAGAACAGCACATTTAGGGATGGTGTTATTTAAAGCTGGAGCAGAGAGTGCAAGGATATGCGGTGTACATCTAATAAACCCTTATGTATGTAGAACATTTTACAACTCTCAAAGTATTCTCAAATAGATTTTTTTTGAGGAAAATTTTGTGGGAAATGTACATTTCATCATGTGCTATTTCTAATTTGGTATAAATATATATGTGGTGTGTGTATATACACTACCATACATATACCATATATATATATATGAAAATATGTGAAAAATTCTGGAGAAATAAATAATTTTGTTCCCCCCCTTCTCCCTGAAGGTCACTAAAGAAGAAAGAAGGAAAATTTTTTTTAAAAAGGATCCTTTTTCCACTCACTCCCCCACCCCCAACCTTCCCTGCTTCAGAAACTTCTCTTTGCTGACTGCCAGAATCTGAAACTCGAGAATGTGTTTTGAGAGTCTAAAGCTCCTTATGATTTGTGGTGCTTTCTAGGTGCAGGACCCTTCCCTGGGATCATCGATCTGTTTGGAAGTGGTGGTGGCCTTTGTGAATATAGGGCCAGCCTCCTGGCTGGACATGGTTTTGCTGTGCTTGCTTTGGCTTATTTCAGATTTGAAGACCTCCCTGAACATTTGGATGACATGCACCTGGAGTACTTTGAAGAAGCCGTAGACTTCATGCTGCAGCATCCAAAGGTGGGTTCTAGTGTTTGCCTGAATGCAGAGGATTGGGAATAGAGTGGACACAGGCCTGGATTCAAAAACCCTGCCGGGACATGAGGGACTCAGAATATGTCACGAGACACCAAAGTTCCTTCAAAAGTTACTAGGATTATTATCTTCATTTCTACCCATCTCTCTCCAATTTCTTAAGACTCAACTGTTTATTTCCCTTTAATTCTTGACCATAATTCAAAGCACTCTACTAAAATGTTACTAACCTTAAATTCTGGTTCTCCATCTACCACCACATGGCCTTAGAATCCTGAACGGGGCAACTGCTTTCTCTGAGGTTCAGTTTTTCTCACTTATAAGGCTAATGTAAATGTATAGAGGAAAACATTTGACTATTAAGAGACATTTTTAGGACATTTGAATAGGGACTGTATTTGATGATACTAAGGAATCATTAATTTTGTTAAATGTGATAATGGTATTATGTTTTCATAGAGAGTTTTTATCTGAGACTGAAAAAAATAATCAAAACATTTTGGTCTGATTATAAATGGAATACATACTCTGCAACTATCTAGACTTAAAGCAACCCAAATATTCTAATGTTAAGTAATAAAATGTTTTATAAGTTCTATAGGATATTCTAATGCTGCCAGAATTCAGGGAATGGTCTCTTAGCAGAGCTGCTACAACCTAGATGATTTTGAACTGTGATTATTGGTTTATTAGAGGAGATAAGGCCCCAGGGAAAAAGAAGAGACCAGTATATACTCAGTTGTGCCTTTAGGCCTAGGCAAGAGGGGCTTCTGTCCTGGACTTTTTGTTTTAGATGGCCACATTCTGGCCTGCCTTTGGGCTTCATCCCTGCCCACAGGGTGAGGAATCCAACGGACCCAGGGAATGTATCCACCTGGAATTCATGTGCCTTACACACACACACACACACACACACACACACACACACACACACACACACCATGCCCTTGTGATATGGAACCCCAGAATTCTTTGCCAAATAGCACTAATCCTGCTTCCAGGCTCTATGTCTCTTCTCTGGTCTATCAATGTGAATACACCTAGGCCTTCACCATGTAGGCTGGGGTATCCACATACATGTGTGAGAGGCCCCTCAAGGTAACATGATGGAACTGGGAATGGGAAAAGAAGGAAGGTGGACCAGGGACCAAGGACTGGGGCTGGCTCTCCCCCAGGCCACATTCCAGTACAGAACTTCAAGGACTCCCAAGCTTTCAAATTTTCTGTTATGGAGGTATATTTACCAAGGTGGGAGAAAAGAATATATTTAAAGAGTTTGTTCATTTGATTTATAACTTTTAAATATTTAGGTATGGGGTGTATGGGTCTCTGTGTGTACTCTTGACCCAGTCACCATAAATATTAGTGGAAGGCCTGTATACTAAGAAATCAGTTGATTTGCTTATTAGAAGACACAGTTGAGCTTTGTGGATTGTTGCATAAGGAAAGAAAGCGAATGAAACTTAAGAAAGCTACCTAGAAAATATAAAATCACCATTTATGTCCTCCACTTACAAATTCTAAGCTTGTTCTGTTTCTCTTCTTCAGGTGAAAGGCCCTAATGTTGGGCTTCTTGGCTTCTCCAAAGGAGGTGACCTGTGTCTCTCCATGGCCTCTTTCTTAAAAGGTATCACTGCCACGGTACTTATCAATTCCTGTGTGGCCAACACAATAGTTGCTCTGCATTACAAGGATATGATTGTTCCCAGTCTTGGCAGTGACATAGGAAGATGTACAATTAATGAATCAGGACTTTGGAATTTTCTTGATATGTGGGACAATCCACTGGAGGAACGCAATCACCCAAGTATTATTCCACTGGAAAGAGCCCAAGGGCCCTTCCTTTTTATTGTTGGCATGGATGATCATAACTGGAGAAGTGACTTCTATGCTCAAATAGCCTCTGAACGGTTACAAGCCCATGGGAAAGACAGACCCCAGATAATCTACTACCCAGGAACTGGTCATTGTATTGAACCACCTTATTTTCCTCCTTGTAGAGCTTCTGTACATACATCATTAAACCAAGCAGTATTCTATGGAGGTGAGCCAAAGGCTCAATCAAGGGCACAGGTAGATGCCTGGCAGCAAATTCAAACTTTCTTCCATAAACATCTCAATGGTAAAAAATCTGTCCAGTCCAGCAAAATATAACATTGTAATCATAGACCAGATACTATTAATAAAAATCTAATTCATACAACATGTGTTGGGTTTTCCAAAGCACATAGAAAATAATTATCTCAGCTCCTTGTCAGGTCCTATTGGATTCCCAGGCTTTGCAACCCTCCTTCCTTTACTGCCACCCCTCTCTCCCCTGAACTTTACCTACCATATAGGCTTAACCCTGATCTTATCCATAGGATCCATCTTAACCTGAAATAGGAGAAATGTAAGAAGTGCCTACCCAACTCTCACTTGCTGACCTAGCTTTGACCTGTGTTCTGGTTGTGAAGACTGAGCTTCTGTATTGCTGAGAGTTTTTTTTTTTTTTAAGATTTTATTTATTTATTTGAGAGAGAATGAGAGAGAGAGAGAGCACATGAGAGGAGGGAGGGTTAGAGGGAGAAGCAGACTCCCTGCTGAGCAGGGAGCCCGCCGTGGGACTTGATCCCGGAACTCCAGGATCATGACCTGAGCCGAAGGCAGTCGCTCAACCAACTGAGCCACCCAGGCGCCCTGAGAGTTCCATATCCCCTTTGGACCCTAACTGACCATGTCTGAACCTTGGGAACATACCCACTTGAATCCCTTAAGGAATGGACTCTGCTTCTTTCTTGCCAGTACACATTCCTGAATGTGTATTCAAGACTTGTCTCTGAACCCCACTCTGAAGATTGGGGGCATTGATATTTTTCATATGCTAAGCTTTGCTTTTATTTTATGAATGCAAAGCTTTGCTTTTATTTTATGAATGAAACCTCAATTTCTTCCTTACTGGTAATGTATCCTTTACAAAATTCAACATTTGTAAAGGATAACTTTACAAAGTAAAGCTGAATTCTTTACAACAAAATTTATTGTAAGCAAAACTGTATTGATATACTGATAGAACCAATTAAGCGTCTGCCTTGGGCTCAAGTTATGATCTCAGGATCTTGGGATTGAGCTCCATGTTGGGCTCCCTGCTCACCAGGGAGTCTGTTTCTCCCTCTCCCTCTGCCCCTCCCCCCTTATGCTCCCTCTCTCTCTCTCAAATAAATAAAATCTTTTAAAAAATTGGTTATATCAGTATATCAATACAGCTTTTTATTTTACGAATGAAACCTCAATTTCTTCCTTACTGATACTGTATCCTTTACAAAATTATTGATTGCAACTAACCATCTCCAGGTACTAAATTTCTAGGTGTAGGGACAGCTCTCCACCTCGATTTCTTCCTTACTGATAAAGTAGCCTAGAAATGCCCTACACTGACTAAAGATATTTGGTCATTTTCCCCTCAGAGTTAACTCTATATATGGCCACCTGTTTCTAAGATTTCAAAAGGAATTTCAGGTTTTTGTAAAGCTACCTAAAATATGGTAATTGTGACTAAGAAGGAAGGCAGGAAGAGAAAAGGTATCCATGAAATGAAGCCAGAAATGAGGCTAACACAATAGCGCTTATTACGAAGGCCTTGACTGGGCCACTCATCCAGTCATATGCTTTGCAATGGCTTATGCAAAGAAGGAAATCTAATCAGCTACACAAACTTTACAGCATTCATAAAATAAAAGCAAAACTTAGCAATTAAGTTCTTCCAAAGGTTGTCATGCTAAGAAACATTGAGTGATGTAAATGGTAGTATCCTCAGCGATTCCTCTGAGGTAGATATAAATTCCAGGCTCCACTACTTATTAGCCATGTGACCTTGGGTAAGTTATTAACCTCTCTAAGCCTCTATTTCTTCATCTATAAAATGGGGATAATAATAGTGCTAATAATAGAAACTACCTGTCTGGGTTGTGGTCATTAAATTAGATAGTCCAGGTGAAGCATTTAAAAAATTTATCTATCTTTGTAAAAACAACATTTAAATTTCATTACAGAGAAGTAATGGATCCTACAAAATCTAAGTGAGGATTCCAACTTGAAAGATCCTAAGAGAGAGGGGGGCGCCTGGGTGGCTCAGATGGTTAAGCGTCTGCCTTCGGCTCAGGTCATGATCCCAGTGTCCTGGGATCAAGTCCCGCATCGGGCTCCCTGCTCCTTGAGAGCCTGCTTCTCCCTCTGCTTCTCTCTCTCTCTCTCCCTCTGTCTCTCATGAATGAATAACTAAACTCTTTAAAAAAAAAAAAAAGATCCTAAGAGAGAGGGACTAAGTGCCTTTCAGGTGCCTTCCAGCTCTGAGATTCTCAGAGGTGCTGGATTCCAGAACTTTGGACTTGTACTTGCATTCTGAGGTTGGACATGACGGTCACAGATTAAATTTAACCCTCTTAATTTATTACCCTATTCCAGGCTTCTCCTAGGGCTAATTACAGTTATCAACTTGAAGTATACCCTTCCAGAACCATTTTAGGTGCATGTACATACACATATTTGTTTGAATGTAAAAAATATGGTTTTATTTTGTGAGTCCCATGACTTTTTCTTGGGGGAAAAAAAGTCATGATGTAATTTTTTTCTGCATATAAAAACATTTTTAATACTTGTGCCAAGCCCCAAGACAATAAAGATTATTTCCATAGTGTATACATCTGTAGTGCTGCCTCATCTAAAACGTTTAAACTTTAACCTTGGCAGTCTTTCTTAATCCCAGGCAAAAATAATGTCAAGGAAGGAATTTGGCAGAAGCCTATTACACGTAGCTTCCTTCAGCTAGGTTTAGGGAATTTTGACCCCTGGTGGCCAGGGAGGGACTTTAAAGAAAGAGACCGGCCAGCATTCTGTCACATCAGTAACCTCTCTCTCACCGCGTCGAGCCTTAGGCAGGGGATGAGCTCCTGCCTCTTCTAAGCGGTCCCACTACAGGGACCCCAAAAGCATAACCGACCCCGCGCCCTCCTAAAAGTCGCCTCTTATTGCAGCCTTTGGCTGAGTGGCGCCCCAGGGACCAGCCGGGGGCCTTACCGCCCTCGGGATCCGAGGATGCCCCGCTGGGCCCCGCCCCGCTGGGCCCCGCCCGGCTCGCCCCGCCCGGCCCCCGCCCGGCCCCCGCCTGCCCTGCGGAGCCGGGCGGGGAGGTCTGACTCTTCCTCCAGCCGCCGCCGGGCCTCGTGTCTTTGCCCGGAACCGCGAAGATCCCGGGGCCATGTGGAAAGCTGCCCAGGCCGTGCTCGGAACCGCCGGGATCCCCCTCCTACTCCGGAGGTCGATGTCCACATCGGCCCTTCTCTCCCACAAGGCTACGACCCTGACCGTCACCCCTACGATTGGGCTGGCCGACGAGCTCCTTGGACATTAAAGTGGAAGGCTTAGGCCCGAGGGCGCGGGTGACCCTGCGAGCGTCGGCAGTCAGCTGCCGAGGCCGCCTCTTCCACTCGCTGGCCCACTACGAGGCGGACGGCCGCGGGGGCTTGGACCTGGCCAGGGACCCGGCTCTGGGCGGCGACTTCACGGGCGTGGAGCCCATGGGGCTCCTTATGGAGCCTCACGCCGGTCGGCTCAGAGGATCCCTGCTTCAACCAGATGCCGAGGGGAGTGATGAAAAGCCCCCTCAAAGTGGAGGTGACCGTCCACCACGCACCGCGGCAGCCGGCGGTGTCGCTGGGCCCGGCGCTGGCCTCTGCCCAGGTGCAGCGCTGGTTCTCCAGCCCTGAGCTGCGCCGCGCTCGGCTGCAGGCCGGCCGCCTGCGGGGCGTCTTCTTGCTGCCCCCAGGTGCGTGAGGTCTTTTCCGCAGAGGGCTTTGCATGGATTTAGGAAGTCGATTTATGAAAGCTGGCTTGCTTTGCTGGCTAATTTATCTTCTGAAAACAAAACGGGTGCCTTAATTCCTTTATTTTGTCGCCCTAGACATCAGGCGGGACAGTCATTCTCCTAAATGGTGACTGGGATTTAAATTTAATCTGCTCGGGTACCTCTTTTCTGCCAGCTGCCGCCCCCTTTAAACTCCTACTGCTCCCGATGCTATTCTTTGTGAGCATCTTTGCTATAGTTTCTAGCATGAAGTATTTGCTTGCCTCTCTAGTAGGCAGAGCTTTGTGGTAATTTGACTTTTTCAGTTATTTCTTGTAAAAATGACGAGAATAGTGGATACAAATCTTTCACTGGTATCCGTTCAAGCTCCAACATAACTGAAGTCCTATTACATATATTGTTCACTTTTTTTTAAAGATTTTATTTATTTATTTGACAGATAAAGACATAGCAAGAGAGGGAACACAAGCAGGGGGAGTGGGAGAGGGAGAAGCAGGCTTCCCGCTGAGCAGGGAGCCCGATGCTGGGCTCTGTCCCAGGACCCTGGGATCATGACCTGAGCCGAAGGCAGACACTTAATGACTGAGCCACCCAGGCGCCCCTATTGTTCACTTTTTTAAATACTGGTTTTACGTTAGGATACAGATGACCTTTTTGTTGTTAATTCTGACATACTCTGATTCCTTGGAGACCTTCATCATGAAGAAACTGTTCTGTTTCTCATTTCATAGATCAAAGAACAGTTTCTTTATAGATGAGAAAACTGAGGCCTAAAGTGTTTTAATCAAATCACACACCTAGATGGTGCTAAAATCAGGGTGTAGGGGCGCCTGGGTGGCTCAGTTGGTTAAGCGACTGCCTTCGGCTCAGGTCATGATCCTGGAGTCCCGGGATCGAGTCCCACATCGGGCTCCCGGCTCAGCGGGGAGCCTGCTTCTCCCTCTGACCTTCTCCCCTCTCATGCTGTTTCTCTCTCTCTCTCTCTCAAATAAATAAATAAAATCTTTAAAAAATAAAAATAAATAAAAATAAATAAAATCAGGGTGTAGTCAAATTCTTTGAGAGCCACACTGACTACAAACGCGCAGAGTGAATGAGTGAAATAGTTAGGTTTTTATTTTAAAAACAGAACAAAACAAAACAAAACAGTCTGGCTTATTTTCTACTCTCACTCTCAGGATCCTTAGGACCAACTAAGAATCTTTTAAATGAGAGATTTAAAACACTTTCATAGTTGAGGGTGGGTGGGCTTTTTTTTTTTTTTTTTTTTTTAGAGCCTATAAGGTACTAGCAAATTTACATACTGGGGATCCAATTACTAAATTGAAACAAAATAAACAAATTCTCAGTTATTTTAATGTGATAGACCTGTGGTTGGAAAAATCTATT